TTTATTTGATAAAAATCTTTCAACTTTCTATCTCTCTTGTCTCGCAATTAATCTTTTAATATTTAATTGAGAATAGCGATTCTAATTCTCGGGCATTTTATAATAGTTTCATTTTATAATAGTTTCTCTTAACTCGCGAGCAAAATGCAGACGCGACGAACATTATAAATGCCAATAAATTCATTTCTCCCGCGTCTTTTTACGGTTATATCGCTGATATTAGCAATATAACCGTAACTCTCAGGAAGATGGATGTTTACGCTTCGATCCACTCGCTGCACGTGTAAGCGTAAGGCGCGTAAAGCGTACTCCTGCGAGTGCGTTCGCATGCGATGGTCGGACGACACTCGATGGTCTCTCCTCCTCGAGGGTTCAAGGTCCACCTACGGGAGTGATACCTCACTGCGGCCGGAATAATGAAAAGAACCGTCCTGGGAGTTTCTCATGGAGTCAGGGACCGCGTCCCCAGGTTCATTGCCGCAACTTCCCTTCTATATTTGCATTCTTTTGATGTCCCTTTAAACCGACATACAACTCGTTCTTATTATTCGATGCCTTTGCGGCGCTTTCGAATTGATCCCGATCTTATCAGATATTTGTAATCAATTTACATGTATTCTTTGATGCATTCTGTTTTCATATACATTTTGATGACAATTTAATTACAATTTAATTACTCCAAATTTAGATAAATATATATATTTATTGATATATTTATTTATCAAATATATTTATTTATATTTATTATATTTATTTATATTTATTTATATATTTATTCGATATATTTACCGAATATCGATAAATTCAGATTTTACGAAAGTATATTTTATCAATCTTAAAAAAATAATAAAAGTAATAAAAATAATAAAATAATAAAGAAATAATTGAAATTATTTATCTAATAAACAAGTAATTTATATAATAATACTTTTAGATAATTTAAGATAAAATTCCGGAATTTAAAAAAAATAATAAATAATAAAAAAGAAAAATAAGATATTAATTAATTAAAATATCATTTACTCTATCTGATTATGAAAATTTGTGTATAATGTAAGTTTGTATCACAAAAATACATAAGAGAGAGATAATATTTTTCTATACAATTCAACAATAGCTTTTATATTTCAATTGGATTAGTTTATTGACCTCGCAAGTATCCAGTATGTATTCAGCGTTACTTTTCTATAAAACATTAGTTCCTTCCTGCGATGTTACGCACATTTGAGCATAAATACAATAAAATTGTATGAAATAACGTCAAGCGAATAATATAATTTAATTTGTAGAGAATATATTGTTATATCGCCAAGACTAATTGTTCTACCTCGCATGTATAGTATTGACAACTTATTTCAGTCATGCCGCATTAGCACTAATTCCAAGTTGTCAGATTTAATCCGCCCATTTGCCTAGACGTAATGCGAGATTATACGGTAGGTGTCGAGTGCGCACTTTTTCTCACGATATTTTATCCATAGGAATTATCCACGTTATACGTGTCTGACACATTAATCTGCGGCAGTTAGCACGGTCTGACAGAAATATATCACGTATATTTTTCTCGCGTCGCCATCTTTGCAATCAATCACGGGCAATTACTAATTTGAGATCTACTGATCTATATAAGATAGAAAGTTTACATGCGAGTTGTAATTAATCTTCCTTTTTATGTCAAATCTGCGAAATCGTTATAAGTTTACAACAACTATTATAATTCATACAAGATTATATTGATATTTAATTTATTATGCATTTACCAGTATCACAAATTTATTAACATGGACTTAATAAAGTTAAACTATAAGTTTCAACTATAATTATAAAAGATATAAACCTTAAAAGAGATGCGCACTTTCTCTCGACCGACATATATTCTTTATGACGAATAGTTCAAGTAAATTCTTTAGCCAAAGGTTTTTAATTTTGACATTGAATATTGAGATAAGATACTCAAACACACTCAAATTTTTTCAAAATAGAGTCCAATTGAAATTTTTTAAATAATATTTTATCGATTATTCTTAAGCATATTGGTTAAATCCACTTAATTATCAATCGTTTATATCTTTAAACTATTATTATCTCGTAATAAAATGGAACTGTCATTTGATGAAAATTTGTTACATTCCTGAAAAAGAAATGACACTTTTGAGGTATTTTTTAAATATCATTTAGAATTTTATTTTAATAATATTAGAACATACATCACTAACATAATAATGAGCGACTGACACGAAATCGCTGCACATTCTTTCACTCCTCTCGTTTCATCGGGACATCGGCACGCCACATTTTATATTCAAATACAGATATTATGCTGCTCGGCCTCGATCGTTGCTCGTCCGTAATGCGGCTGCGTCTTATGATCCGTGACCGCATTTTTCCCTGGATTAACGAACGTTCAACCCAAATCGTCGCGCGACTCGAAGAAAGATAGCGAGGCAGATTACTACTAAAAAAAAATCACTTTCGAAAATCGCCGAGCGATTCCCTTGCGGCGATCGCCGGAAGTAGACCGGAAATCGGTCGTCCCGCTGTAAGGCCATTCGATTTCACACGCGGATCTTCGCTGCGTGAACGTGGAATTTGCATTGATAGTTTCAAAGATAGTTATCATTTCGTGACGAAGATATTATAAATAATTATATTAATTGATACCTGTCAAAAATATCGAGAGTGTACTGAATTTTAATTATGTTGGATGATATATTTACATAATATTTCAAACACTGTTTAATTGTTTGACTTATTTATATTTAAGAGATGTTATATTTTTAACATACATTATTTAAAAAAATATTGTATATTAATACTGTAATAATATTTATATAATTTTTAATTTAAATAGTAGTTATAAAAAGAAAGTATATTACTGCTTATTTTTTTCTAACAAAAAAAAATGAAATTATTTGACGATATAATATTTATTAGTTGTTGCTTTTATTACTGCTGAATATTTTAAAAGGTTACGTGAAAAAAAATGAATTTATTTTTCTTTTGAAGAAATAAAACACATGCTCACGGATATGACAGATGTCGGATAATTTTAAGGTTCGCGACAAGTATGACGTTTTCTTTTCACTTCGCATATCCTGTTGCTGCGTTTCGCAAGGGAGTCCACTCAAGCGAAGAGAGACCGAGATAGATAGACCTCTCCCGAGGGGGTGATTCGACGCGAAGGCATTTATCCAACATTGCCTTGTATCACTCACGTTTCGCGTTTCCCTCTTTTCTTCGACCCAACAGGATGTCCCATTCACGAGAGTCTTGAAAGACGGTAATCGTAACTGACCGACTGACGTTTCGCGTGAATGTAACCATCGTCACGGCACGTTCAAAAGCCTTCGAGTCGTCTCCGCAGTTAACATCTCCATTGTTAACGAAAGGAGGAAAGTAAGGCCGCAGGATGGCTCCCTCGAAGATCGTTTCGGGATAATTTGCAATTGTACGTGGAGAAAACGTCGCCAAGAAGCAGCGCGCGGGAAGTGCCGCGAGATTCGCAAGGCTGCAATTTAGTTCGTGCGTTTCGATTGTGCGATGAAAATATTTTTTCGAAGAATTTTTTCGATCCACAATGGTAGATTTTGACACTCTTTGGAAAGTAAATTCTTCGCACGCTTGTTCATTAAAAAAAAGAATTAAAAACGAGATGTTCCTCGTATTTTTTTAGCTCTTTAAAAATGGAAGAAAATTATTTTTAATATCTATATTTTTGATCTTCTCTTTTATAATTGTTTTTATAATTATTTTCAAATAATTTCATATCATTTATAATAAAACCAATAAAGTATAATCATGAGTTTAAGTAGAATTTTAAAATAAAATTTTTAATAATTAAGATTTTTGAAATTTTTAAAACTGAAATTTTGGATCATGTATAAACAGAATTTGGTCTTTGAAACATCTAAAAAATTATAAATTTGTTACATTTGTGATATAAATTTTTGAGAAAGATTAATAATTAAAAAAAAACAAACTACAATGATTACATATAATTCCCTGCAAAAATTTAACAAAACTTGTAGATTTGTATATTCACTTATACGCAAAATGTAAACTAGAATAAGTTGTCAGTCGTATATATTAATGTGAATTAGGAATTGTTTACTTTTCCTAGTAAACCTTCATATTTTCACGTAGAAATAATTTTTCCGAATCACCGCGGAAATTTCTCGGATTGTAAAGGATTATTTGCCCACATGTTCGCTTATTTGCATTAAAATATAACACGACATATACATCTCAATCCATCGAAATGTTAAAGTACATTCGCAAGAAGAAAAGATTTATGTACGTGACTCGCAAAAAATCGACTTCGCGCACAAATAATCTTGGAAATTCTATTTACAATGGCATCGAGAAGATCGTTTTAAGATACCGACATTACATACGTTTCCTTTAAATCTCCATTAAATTTAGAAGTTGGACAAGCATACAACGGAGTAAAATATTTTACCGATATTTTTATATCAATAATGTGTAACATATTAGATGTTAATAACTTATTTGTTTATATATATATGACAATATATAATATAATAATAATGTAAACAATCGCATATGATTCTAAAAATAGACAATTTTCTAAATTGATGAAGTTGTTAATAAATATATTTTTTAAATAGATTTTAATTCAATTTAAAAAATAAAAGTATAATTATACTAAACATTAATAAATTATTTATTTACACAAGTAGTATCTTATATTTAATGCTTAAAAATAATTGTAATAATAGACATAATATTTTCAATCAAATTAAAATTATTTTTTTTAAAGAGATAGTATAATTTTATTTAATTATATTTATGCAAAACAGTAAATTAATAAATTCACATATAATTTTATAGATTTTGTGTATAATAGAAATAAAAACGCTTGTAACTTGCGACAAGCGCGATATCTCGCATATTTTTATTTAAATTTATTCTCTGTAACGATTGCAATATTTTTTTTTATAATATCTTATCTCATTATATCTTTATCGTTTTTGTTATAGGTTGGCGATGGCGGCATTATAGTACTCGATGCTACTTTGGATGCATCTACGACCGACGATGCCGAGTGGGAGATCTCCGGGGGTCCGCCATCACCCTGCGATGTATCGTTTCTCAACGACAATGTCCTCATCAACGGACGCAGCAACCTCTCGAGGACGCCACGAAATCATAAGGTGAGTGAACTCTTGTCGTGATTATGCAGTTTTTCCAAGCGACGCTTTGTTCGAACAGGTTTCGCAGAGAAAAAAGTTGCATCACAAGCCAATGTTTAAGATTAGTATTGCTTGTATGTTTATCTTCACATGCCTTTATTCTGCAATCACGTTAGTTTTTATAGAGAAAAATTCCAACACTTAACATTACATATTTTTCTCTAATAATTTAATCTATTATTACAATTTGTAATAGTGAAAAATATCTATTATTAAATTATTAAATAATAAATAATAATTAAATTGTTATTAAATTAATAAAAATTATAAGTGAAAATGCAAGCAAATTTTATAATACAAAAAATATATACATAATTTTCATTTCTTAGAAAATTAAAAAGTAAATTATTGCCAGCGTTTGAAATGTCCACGCACGAATTGAGAATAAAACATATGAATATTTTCAATAAATAGCAAGAGTAATTTTGAAAATACTAAATTTATTATATATTTTTAAATAATAAATTATATATTTTTCATTATATATTTTAATAATAAAATAAAAATTTTTAGTATTTTTTTGAAATTTTTTTAATGAAACAGATCAAATTTATTGTAATTAAATTACGTTATATTAATCATCATTAATTTTTATCAACGTTGTCAGTTATCAAAAACATTTAAAAGTCAGATGCGTGCTGTTTTTAAATATCATCGACAATACACAGAACCTTATCAACATCTCTTATTCTGTTTACCGTGACATTACGTGTCTACCTAATCTAATCAACTGCACTGCAATTACTTGTGGCTCATGACCCGACCACCTTACTAAATCAAAAAGCGTAATATTACTTTCAAGATCACGCGCGCGCGGCGTGAGAAAACTTGCCTCATAACTATTCGTGAGATCGGATGCACAATGTGGCTGGCTGACTCCCACGTGGCTCGAGGAAATTTTTTCCCCTTGGAGGGAAAAGAGAGAAATAGGGGGAGAGAGAAAGAAGGATTGTACTAATCCATGCCGTCACGTAATATATTTTTGGCTCACGAGTACGACAAACGTCAATGTTCCACGCCTCTTGGCGCCAGAAACACGTTCCGGTTATACATACGCGCTATCAAGGAAAACATTCTTTGTCTGGGGATAATGTAAAGCAAAAAAGATCCTATCACTGAGGAATATTATGGATATATGAATCCGTATAAATGTATATAGTTTACAGATGTGTAGTATTAAAAATTATTTATAAAAGTAAAATAACACATGTTTTCTGTATGATGCACATATTTTCCACTCTCTTTCTTCTCTTTCTTCGCTAACGTTATAAATTTTCAACGCTGCATTATTTCTCCAGGCTTAGAATTCTCAGGATTGTTTTCGAAATATCACTCACTAGGCTTTCATATATTTAATTACACTGGTTATTCGCTGCACGATTAAACATTAATCTGATATTATTTTTAGCACCTCTTAATCCTGATATTATTTATAGCAGAGTTTCTATTTGATTTGAAATTGTAATAAAAAATGTATTTATATATTATATCTAGATATGACGGAGAGAGAGTTCTAGGTACAGTTAGATTTATATGTTAAAATCATTTATGGTACATGATATATTTTGACATTGAACGCGTTGCACCAAATTGTGCAGTAATAAAAAGTGAAGATCTTCTCGCACGATGTAACTATGATGTAATCTATTAACGATAAACGGCAAGTAGATAAGCGAACAAAACGTCGTTTATAAAAGATGTAAGATAGACGTAACATGCGGGAAATGGTTGAATCTCAATAATGCGCGATGCACACACGTTGCAATATAAGTGTTCGCTGCACCGATAACATATCGCGGGATTTAGTATTTCGTAAAACACAATTGTATAAATATTGACATTAATACTGGGAACATTACGATATTTCGTTTAGCTATCGTTTGAGCAACTTTAAAGAGACATTTTGGAGATATTGCCGCGAAGAGAGTTAATTTGCAAATCATGCATATTTTAAAAGACACGTCTTTGGGAATAGACTCTGGTCTAAATGTCAATATTAATCAGCTGGTTAATTATACGGAAAGTGAAAAAACGCATTCAAGCGTGCGTAATTGAATTTTCCCCTAGTTTATCTTTCACATATATATTTTTTTTAAATTAAAAATATGATTACTATTTATATTATTATTTATATTACACTATCGTAGTTTTTGCAATTCTTTTATGATGATATATTATGTGATTTTATAAATAATTCATACAAAACATACATATCATAATTTATAATTTTTGTATACTAATATAATCATTCTAGACATAGTGTTTTGTAAACATCCGATCTAAACCTCTTTGTAATAATCGTGCATAATTAGATCTAAAAATTCTTGCGGAATTTTTGAATCGTTTCCATTAAATCATTAAAGACGTAATCATTTCCTACGCAACCATCAGTCTTTCCACTTCATTCGCGACTTTCTCACGCGATCGCACGTCAATTTGATGTTGCGATGCAGGGGGGCACTCTATCAACTCTACCAACACCGATAAAATGCCAATTTGTAAGTAAAAGTATCGTGTCCGTGGACCGGCAATGATTTTCGAGCGCCTCGTCAACCAAGTTAATCTACCGTGCATCATAAGAATAATCGTGGATGAGCAATCCTGCTATTGCTCTTTAGTACAATAAATGCAGAAGACGAGTCACGAGAAAAGCCATATATCTTGGAACTGAGTAAATATTCATAAAAATTGTCTCGAAAGATATTTTTTTATTATAATATTGCATCTATATTTTTGATCAAAATAAAATATTATAAATTAAAATAAAATATGACGGATTTTCTCTGAGCACATTATCGCTTAATCAATCTAAAATTGACGTTTTCCTTGATAAACATTCGATTTCGATCATTTTTCGCAGAGATATTAACATTGGGTAATGCAAAATTATGATTATGATAAATTAATACGTTGTTTGAAATGAAGTAGAATTTGGAAGACACGCGATATCGCTCACATCTTATCGAAGATACGCGATATCGCTCACATCTAATCGGTCATTCGATTATCTCTGACATTTTACTGTTAACGATCGATTGTAAAATCTTAAAGAGTATAGACTTTGTCTTTCAAGTATTCTTAATGTATTTTTTAAAGTAATTTTCTTAAAGTAAATATTTTTAATGGAGTAGAATTTTTTTATTTTTGAAATTCGATTCGCTTAAATCTTTAGATCTTTAGTTCATCGTAGTTCGTCGATACCTTTGTCGAGGATAAATTGATACGACACAACGGCCTCTGTTCATAGATAAAGGCAACATCGATAACTCCGGATCAGTCAGTTTCTGTTTTATATTGTCTATTGTGTTCTTACGAGATCTCGCTATTCGTCTCAGGAGAGCCGATACTTCCTGGATCGCACGATGGACGCCGCGTCATGTTTTCTCTAGGATTTATTTCAGTGTTCGTATACCGTGTCGGATTGATGGAAACGCTGGAATAACCGATCGCGCATTATACACGACTGGAATTCCTTTCCGTGTCTTATCGTGGATTGAGTCCCGGTTAGAAAACGCGGACGTTGCTCCTGGATCCAACGATCCAGATGAGAATTCAGTTACCTCGGGTTCGTCGCTTTCGGGGAAGGCGAAAGATCCGCTAAAGGAATTTTACAAGCACCGAAAATCGTTACTTTTATCCTAGCCAGTATCGGAAATAATTTATAAAATATTCATCATTCATTTTTGTGATTTCCATAGAGTGGAAGATAAATTATCACAAATATGTACATGATATATTTTTATCAAATAAAAAATACTATCATATTTAGTTAAAAAAAACTAAATAATGATATATATTAAAAATATATAAAAGAAATAATTACCATAAATATATTTGTATAAAATAATATAATCAAACTACATATGTGCTTGAGGTAGAAATATGTCTTTTTACCACACTTCTCTTAAAAGCGTATCTAAGGAATTCTTTCTACACGCTATCGTCTCCGCATATCTACCTCTCGCAAGAGGAAACTTGTTCTTCTCGTTTATGCACTATGTTTTAGTTTTATTGTACTTTAATCGCGTTACTTTAATACCATTGATGTTTTCGAGTTTAGCGCTTATTTTGCGTCTTTGAGTTAAATATATACAACTTGTATAGAATTTAAAAATATATTCGCGACAAACAGCTGGTACATTTTGTATACGTCAATATTTAATCTCAAGCTTATAAAGCAATTTAAAAAAAATATAACGAGATTCTATTGCAATTTTTGTTGTAGACAAATGTAATAAAAATTACACCTCTCTTTAAGATGGAAAAAAAAAAACGAAATTTTAGCAAAATGCAGAGAGAAATTAAAAACTTGTCGTGAACGTTTAAAGGCGAAAAATGCTGTCGCAGAAAATAGAAATTTTCTTCTGTCCTTTTCGCCGATCCATTGCGGCATGCAATCGTCGTGCGAGATAATGTATACTTTACGATTCACTTGTATTACGGTGTGTCGTACAATTTCACTTCGTTCACAACAATTGATTTGACAGCTAATACTTGTCACGCGCGGATTCGACGCGGTCGAGTAATAAACCTTTCCTCCCCGTAAAAGGCAGCGATGGAAAATCAGGACAAAGAGAGCGTAAACGCGATCCTGCGAGGCTGAACGATAAGCTTATCGAAAGGCCGGATTTCGTGAGAAACTTTTTCCACGCGAGAATAAGGACTCGCGAATGCGAGAAGAGTCCTGAATTTGATGTAAAGTGCGTTATGCAAGGGGCGAGAGTAATCCAACGTTGCAACTTTTCTCACGCTATCGTGATCGCGTAAAAAAGCGTCCGTTTATTATACGCTTAAGTATTTTCTGAAGTACCTCTCTATCAGCCTAGTTTGAATATTTTCGCAGAAAATATGGTTATAATAATTTCTCATGGAAAGAGAAAGGAATACTGTCTGCATAATGAATTTGTAAATTGCACTGAGTTGAAATAATAAACATAATGGTGAATCAACATCGTTTGCGT